CACAGTTTTGACAGTTGTTACTTTCTTTTTTTGTTCTTTTGTTTCTTCCTGCTTCTTAAGATACTCGCAGTATGATAATTTTAATAAAAGATAACAGTTTTCTGGTAGAACCCACAACACATTTTTAGGTCAAAGTTGCATTATAATCTGGAAAAATGTAGATAACCATCTTGTTGACTCTCATTTTAATATGATGCTACTTTGATAAATGTTATAGGTAGCACTTCTTTAATTGTTTGTTTCTTTACGACCAGAAATATTTTTTAAATTTGCATTTCCTTTAAGTGTAGAAAACATTCAATGACTGTCTTTGAGCTAGATGACAAGTTTGGAGGTCAGCATTATGTTATTCTAATTTTAGCCGTTTTAATGCCATTATTTAGGTATATATTGATGGTGAAAACTGACATTATCTTGAATTGCTAATAGTAGCTAGCCTGGCTACTGAGGACATCAATTAGAAATCCCACTGGCTTCTAAACTAGAAACTAGAAGCTGAGCTCACTAGAAGTAGTCGTCACCATTTGTTCCTGGTTCATTCTCTCAATTATCTTTTCTCTGTTTCACTTTTGAGAAGTTTCTCACTAACCAAACATCAACATGCTTGAATGACTCGTCTTTTTGGTTGTTTACATCTACCACAGATTGACTCCGGAGTACATTCTGGTCCCCTTTAAAGGTTTCACTGCATGCCCAACCTTTGGCCTGATTCCTAGCATTCACCTGCAAAGGCACAGGAGACACGGTATGATGAGATTGAAAGAAGGAAGCCTGGGGCAGGATTAGTGATAGAAAGATGGGAGAAAGGGAGCGGGATTGTAGTTGGGAGGAGGGAACAAAAAGAGAAGAGAGTAAGCAGAGGGGAAGAGTTTACAGTAGATGGGGGGGGGAGGAGAACACGTAGCACTTCCCTGTGACCAGCCCACTCGAGCCAGTTACTGTCTCGGCATCGAGGAGCTCCGTGTTTGTCAGTGCGGGCTAGTGTAGTGTTTCCACTCTTCACACACGCTCTGCAAGAAACAGAGGTGGCTTATGGAAATTTAGCAGGGGAGCGGCAGCAGCTGAGCAGGCGGAGGAGGAGGAGGAACTTAGCTGAGTCAGTGCGGGAGAGAAGGGGGGGACGTCAGCAGCATGTGTTGCAGCATGTTTCAGTGCCGCTCTCTGCCTCCCATCAAAACACACAGTCCTGCAGAGGCTGCCCACACTGTGAGCATGACACAGGGATAGCAGAGGAGCTGCACTGTGGAGTCACCTTCAGCGCAGCGAGGCGCACTGCTGGGTAAGTGCGGCACTCACTTTCATAACAGGAGGAAACAAACTCCTTTTTTTTTCCTCCTCTTAACCGGAGTCATGTGTGGGCCATTAAAGTTTTTTAAGCACATGACATGTTGGATTAACGTGACGTATCGCATGGCGAAGATTTCCAGGCGACTTCAGCCCTGCTTTCTGTTTTGCTCTTGTGGGTTAATTAGTATCAGCAACCCCCCTGTGTGTGGTGTTGAAACCACACAGAAATAAGGACTGTGGTTTTCCACCTCACTGACCCCTCTGGTGACCTTTAAAGGACCAGTAAGCAGGTGAATCATTGTTGGCTGTAAACTTTTTTGAAGCGCGGGGGGCCTTCTTTTCATACAGACTTATCATCGCATTATGTGCAGGTGCAGAAGAATGTCTTTTATTAATCTGGTTATGCAACAACGATACAGAAAATAGAACCAGCAGTGAGATCACAGGCATTCAAAGTGACACTCCTGCCGGTTTACTTTTTCATTCAATCCGTTTTTATTCTCTTTTGTGTTTTTGCCTTTTGGTAAAGGAGCACTGCATAGACCGGCTAAACTAAAACATGTAAACACAGATTTGTATGGCAGTTTTCTTTACTTTTTTTTTTTTGCAAATATTTCCATGAGTGCATGAGAAATCTCGAATATTTGCTTTTGTTATGAATGTGTTGAGCGTAGCAAGATCTGTGTTACATTGACAAAGGTGAGGCTTCTGAATCTCACACAACTGTAAGTGTTAATCTGATTTCAGCATGTGTGTTCAGTTAGTAAACCACTCGAGTGTGCAGACAGCCGTTTGTAATGCGGCCAAACTTTTCTGTATGTTTCACATGGACGCATGCTTTCTACAGCTGTTTATACCCAACGTGTTCACACCAGTTGAACTTTTCACTTTTTTTTCTCTCATTACGATCACAAACTCGTATTTCAATCAGACATTTCCCCATTACTTTATATTTCTAGTGGATACTTGTGAAGTGGAGGCGAAATGGAAAATAGATTACAATCTAAATTTATATTCACTTCCTTTTTTAAAGAAAACCCCCAAAATGAAATCCAGTGCAACCAATTACCTTTATCACAGGATAACAGAGTTCATATGTTTGTAATGTAATTCATATGGTGAAACTTGGCACAGGTTGCATCATGCTGTGGGGATTTGTTTCTTTAGTAGAGACAGGGAAGCTGGTCAAAGTTGAATGGAGGATGGATAGAGCTAAATCCATGCTAATTCCGGAAATAAAACTTGCTAAAGGCTACAGAAGTATTGTATTTTCTAGTTGGATGACTATGCATATAGCCAGAATTGTTAGATTAATGTACATGCATGTTAGTATGGCCTAGTCAAAGTCAAGACCTAAATCTTATTTAGTATCTGTGTGCAAAGACACTAATGTTAATGTTTGCCCTTCCAGCCTGGCTGAGATGAAAAATATTTTTCAAACATCAGAAGGTGAACATGTATGAAGTATGAAAAATTTGCATTTTTCCTTCCACTACACAGTTATGCACTACTTTGTGTTTTGTCAATTATATGAGACTCCACTAAAACGCATTGAAGTTTGAGGTTTTAGCATCACAAAATGTGGAAAAGTTCCAGGCTTTTGCCAGGCAGCATGGATTTAAGAGATAACACTAAAACTTAAGAAACAGGTCATACACTGATGTTGTAAAAACACTGTTATAAAGTTCTTTCAGTTCTGCACATTTCTGTAGGTGCCTACACAAGCACACTTTATTATGCTCCTGCACCTGCATGCCATGGTCTTAAAAACAAAACAAAAACAAAGCAAGATGCATAAAATGAAAGAAAACTTTCCAGGCTCCATTAACTGAGCAGCTCCATGAGGGAGAAATTCCACTGAATTGTGACGGTTGAGTGTTTGGATGTTATGAGGGCGATGTTGCTGCAACACAACGACACTGCCAAGTGTTGTGTGTGTGTGTGTGTGTGTGTGTGTGTGTGTGTTTATGTGTGTCTATGGTTGGACTGTTTCCCAGACAGACTGACAGAAATCCTGACAAAATTCACGATTTTTTCAAAATTTGACTGTTTGAGTTTTAAATGCCTGAAACAAATGGGCAAACTATTTTCTGTGTAATGGTTATAGCCAGTGTCTGTTGTGCTTTATACCATCTGGAAAGACTGGTTCTGTCATCTGTGAACAGACTTGTCTGCCTGGTAAATTATTTTTGAAGCCTTGCAAAAGACATGTATTTCCTTATGATGTGTGTTTTAGATGGACAGCTGCAGGCCACAATAATCACCTGCTTTATTTTATGCATTTAATGGTTGTAATTTCAAAGCCCCAGAGCAGCAAAGCATGAATGAAGCTGCAGATGTAAAGTCTAGACAGTGAGGTTGGAGTTTTGGCTTTGAAGCTGGAGATATAGTTGGGAGTCATGACTAATCTGAATACCATCCATCTAACCATCTTGGGCTGCGGCTAATGATTATTTTAATTATCAATTATTCAATTGAATATTCTGACAGTTAATACATTAATTGGATTTAAAAAATGGGCACATTGTGTAGAATTTTCATTCAACCACTTCAGCATTTTTATACAAGGATGCAAATAAGGTAAGGTAAGGTAATTTTATTTATATAGTACATTTTCAGCAACAAGGCAATTTCAAAGTGCTTAAACGAATAAGCACAGTCAGTTCAATTCCCTTTTAAATAACAAAACGAAAATTTCTATTGCCTAATATGCTACAACCAGATTCCTTTAGCATAAGCTTTATTAAAAATACTTCTAATATCAGCATGTGAAAAGCTCAGGCCTTTCTTCTTGACTTAACATCAACACAGTGTAGGGCTGATCTTTTGATTATTTTTGGATTAACCAATTAATAATTGGATTGCCAGAGAGCTTAATAGAAGAGTTTTTATTTTTATTTTTTACAGAATTTGACTCAGGTGAAGCTAAAACTATGGTATTTATGGAGTTCTGGGTAGAAAATATTTACAGACTAAGAAGTTTTGTTTTTTTTTAGCTTAAATGCAAAATATGTACATGTTTTTGACTGTTTTGGCTTAATTATTGCCTTTCATGCAATTAATTATTGCCTTAATTGTTGCTCTTTCAGAGTCCGTGTACTCCAATTACCGATTAATTGAATACTAATACGTGACACTTATTTCAATAACTGACTTATCACGATTAATCTGATTAATCATTACAGTCCGACATCCATCCATCAGTTTGTATATCCATCTGTTGTTTATCCATCTTATTTGTGTTGATTTTATGTGCATAGGCAAAGTTGAAATTTCATGCAAATAAGTATAGTCAGTTTGATAACAAAGCCATACTGAGCACAGCAGATAAGAATCAGACACTGAGATCAGTTAACGTTCTGCTAGCTTGTTGTCAGACAAGCTGACAGCAGCACACAAGGTACGAATCGCTTAATAACTGATGTTAGGCTGGTATATACCTGCATCAACATAAGAAAAGCAAATCTAATATGTGTTTAGTGATTGGATAGACTCCAGGTAATCTGCTGTGACTTTGCTGTACCAGCTGTTTGCTTCATAGTTTAACACATGGGTGGAGTTATTTGATCACATGTTGTGTCTGAGCATTAATCTCTGGGTGTTTCCTACGTTTGCCTCCAACATGCTCATGCTTGTTCAACTACATGCTGCAGCATGCTGCGCATGTGCTGCAGGTTGCAGCGCACCAACATGATGTCTCCACTGTCTCGCAGACTGAAGCAGAGAGTCTGAGTGGACGGGACAACCAGGCGCTGCTGACCGAAGCCTCCACCTACCAACCAGTGCTCCCAGAGGTCCCAGTCATCACTGGAGTGGAGGAGGACAGAGGATCTGCAGACCAGGACGACAAGGAGGAGCTTGAGTTTCCTCATGATCTGCTGCCCAGTTTGGATTTCAGCAGCGAGTTGAACATCTGGGAGTCTTCACTGGGGTATGTAGAAACGTGTCCTTGCCCACAGCTGTTTTTTTCACCTCAGAGGAAATTACAGATGTTTTTAGCTCTCAAGCTAATAAGTAAATCACACGAAACTTTAACTTGCATATAAAAAAGTTTCTTTATGTTCAAAAACAAGTAAACACCCTCGCTCCCTTTGATTGGTTTTGCTTGTGGGAAGCATGTAGGTTTGCTTCTAGCTAAGAAAGTTATTGTGTGCAGCTTTTTAATGAATATTATATTTATTAAGGAAAAAAAAATATTCAAGCCACCCTGTTCCTAGATAAAACACAATAACTTATAGTAATACCGCTGCTGGGTAGAACTGACAATTAAACATAGAGCAGTGAGTCTTTTATGTCACTGTGGAGGAACAAATGTTTTAATTTAACTGTACTATAAAGTTCTCAAGAACGAGGTCATGCCACAGCATTTCAGTCAGATCTAAGTCCACACTTTGACTAGGCCACTCCAGAACTTTCTGTGTGAATACAGCAATAGCCTTACAGTGAGACAGCTGGGGTTTCAAACGATGTCACTTGATGTCACTAGAAAAGTGACATCAAGGATTTTTGGTATTGAGACCTCCATAAGGTGAGAAACATACAAACGACAATAAGGTTTAATCAAAGCTGAACAGATTCTAGTTTGACATTCTAGAAACATTTACTCCATTTATGAAAACAGAACAGAGGCTGGATTTTACTTTTCTTAAAAATATTCAAATTATTCCTTGTGCTTGTGAGAAAATTATTTCTAACAACCAGGTGAAGTTTCAACCAGTCCTCACAAGAGGCTCCCGTCCCTTCTGCAAATAACCCTCTGATTATATTAATCACTACAGAAAAGTTTATCTAATAAAATATGTGCAGTTTATAAAGAAACATTTCATTAAAATATTTACACCACTGATAAAGTAATAAAATAACTTTGTCTAATGATGCACCGTTTACAAACAATACCATATGTGCAAGTTATCTAGAGGTGAACGTTAACTCGATAATGACCTGTGCGTGTCTCCATGTTTGCTTTATGGACCTGTGTCAGCAGAGCTCCTTCTTGCTCCGATGGGAGAAAGTGTGAGCAGGTGAACCCCCTGCTGGTGGGCCTGCAGCATCACATGGATCTCGGTGGACCACTGCTGGTTTTAGACGGGAGGTAGCACATGATTCGGCATGCGTCTCTGCCATGAGACTGTGGTCAGCTGTAAATGAGATCATAGTGTTATAAATCAGGGCGCTTGGGTTTAATCTAATGTTTCTAACTCATGCTTGATTGCGACGACGCCGCTGATGTGATGCTGCCGGTTGAGGCAGGTTTTACTTTGATTTGTGGTGATTAATTTCCTCATGATCAAGTGGCTTATCTGTGGACACCTTTTTTTCCCCTCCATGATCTGCGTCAAGGCTTTAATGTTTACTGAAAATCTCACACCCTGCTGCAGTATAGATAATGTTTGACTTGATAATTTAACAGCTCAAACTCCAAAAAGGGAAGTATCGCAGACAGTTTTTTTTTTTTTTTTTTTGCCTACTCACTGCAGACTTATTAGTCTGAAGACTCATTGCTGTTTGAGACATTTGCTTTGTTCCATTTTTCAGGCAGCAGCAGGAATCATTTTGATGCCTGCCAGCTGGAAACACTAGAGTTTATTTACTGCTTTGCCCTTTAGTGCAAAGTGCCAAGAGAATTGGATACAGCCTTGAATGGCAGGTTGGTTAGTGAGCAGCATACTGGAAGAAACTTTGTGTTTACAAGAATACAAGGAGTGCAATCACAGCTGACGGATGAAGGGAATAATAATGATTTTCCTCCACCTAAACTTTACTGCAGACTAAACACAAACAACTGGTTTGGTTTCTGTGGATTGGCATGAGAGAAGTTTGTTTTTAAAGCTGTTTTATTGTCAGTTGATTTTGGTATAGTGTTGAAAAAAATGAAATGGTGCACACGATGAAACCCAAGCAGAATAAGCAAGAAGACTGAGGGCATATAACTATGACACAAACTGGTATTTCCTGTACTTCTAATTAAGAGCTAAGCAGGTACTCAGGCATTTCATCTGTCTGGCTGAAAAGTCTCCTAAAACGAGAAACATATAGGGAGTTTTGACAAGAAGCCACTTATTTACAGTTTTCTAGCAGCTTTCTTTCAAGTTTAATACACTACTTCTGGTGTAAAGTGCAGCCTGGAATTAATTCTTAAGTCTTAAACGGTTTCCTTCCTGTGTTACCATGGCCAAAAATCTAAATTTTGTTCTCATCTGAGAAAAGGTGACAAAGACACCTTTTTTCCCCCCCACGTTTGCTGTCCTACTTGGCTTGTGGCAGACTTTAAACTGGACTTTTTTCATAACAGTCTCATTAGTGGAGTGCACAACTAATAAAGATCTTTCTCACCTGAGCTGTGGATCTCTGCCGCTCCACTATGAATATCATGGGCCTCTTGGCTACTGCTTAATGCTCCTCTGACTGACTCATCGGTTTAGTTGTACCGTCGTTTTCTTTGGTAGCTATGTAGTTGTGCTCTTCCTTTCTAGATGGCTTATTAAAAAGTGAGATGAGCAAAACTCAGGACACAGCATATAATGCAACAATAATTTGAAATAAGGCTAATAAATAATGCATTCATATGAATGCACCCACCCTAACTCATTCAAGTGTTTTTGTAATTTTCTTTAAAGCCATTTTAACTAGTAACATAAGTTTCTTTCTAAAGTATTGATACACATTTCCACATTTTGTTTTTAATGTAAAGCAACTACTCTCACACATGGTGTAGCTTTGCCTAATGTGTCACAGTATCTTTAAGTGGCAGCATAATGAAGTGAAGACACATTTTAACATGTTGTAAAAAATACAATTTCCTTTCAAGCCTGTTATATCTTTTTCCTTCCGCTAACTACCTGTTTAACACCTCACCCATAATATAGCGTTCACACCGAAAAGTGTTATGGTTCTGATGCATACGCTGATCTTTAAAAGATTAGATTTTTTTTGTTGTTTTTGTTAGTGACCGTCAAGTCCATATAGGTCTTGACAAAAATAAGAAACATCAATTTAAATTTCACTGCGACTTCCTGCAACAAGCATGTCTGCATGAATCCAGGGTGAACATGAACAAAAATGTCACAGTTTCAATGTGAATTCCTGAATGTGTTTGAATTAACAGTTTGATGAAGCCATTAACGTTGCACATCTTTAAATAGGGAGACACTAAGGATCAGTGAGAACTGATTTAGTGAAGTTAATTAGAAGTAGTTTGTGCTCTGGTCTGTTTGTAAAAAGATGTGCATGTTCTTGAACTCCCATAATCTTAGAAACAGCTGATATTCAGTTCTTGCTCAGGAAGGGCCATCCCAAGCATGTTGAAGTGCAACTGGTTTGTTGTGTTTGCTGAGCATGGGCTTCTGCACTGCCAATAGCAATGCTCGACGGCATCGTGGAATGAGCAGCTGTCTGTCTGTCTCCTCCTAATCGTGTCGCCCTGCCCTCATCTCAGGCCAGATGGCACCCAGCCAGTAAGCCCAGATGTCCATTCTTCACCTCAGCTGGGACCCCTGACACCTTCCCCAACCAACTTCTTGGACCAGGAACTCCAAATGGCCTTCCAAGAATGCGAAGAACAAATGGCGTCGCTGGGATTGCTCTCTTCTAAGGAGTCTGAAATGACTCAGGATGTAGTAGGGAAGGCAACCAATGAGAGGATGGTTAATGAGTCCAGAAAATCGCTCTCGCCACTTCCAGTTGCAGTGCAGCCAGGACATAGCAACGGTGGCCGTGGAAACGAGAGTACACATGGAAACAGTGAGGCAGCACACAGTCAGACGGACACAGTTGTGTTTAGTTTTAGGGATTACATTCTAGGAAAGGAGAATAACTCTAGGAAAACAGAGATGGAAAATAAAGTAGAAGCAAATCAGAGTGTGGAGAAATGTTCAGAGCCTAAGTCAAAAATGGAGATGGATGAACAAGAGCAGAAATCAGATACAAATAAGGAATCTCCAAAAGAACAGAGAGACTTAAAGACCTTAAATGAACATGTTGGTCTGAGTGTCACTGCTGAGATGAACAGCTCAAATGATTTTGATGCAGAGATTAAAGAAGAAAGCCCAGGAGGAATAATAGAGGCTGCAACCTTATGGAAAGAAAATACAAATGATGAGTTTAATATCAATGTTTATACAGATGAGTCAAATGGTTTAGATGTAACAGCATCAGGATCAAGAAAAGAAAGAGACAAGCAAAGGGAGGATAGTCAGTCAAGATCAAAATCTGACAAACAAGTTGGACCGAACAAAGAAGCAAAGAAAAAGAAACACAAGAAAAAGAAGAAGATAGAAAAGAGTTCCGAGAGTGACCAGGAAGCAAAGACAGAGGTTTGGCAGTCCGAAACTGAAAAACAGGCTCTGTCACGATCATATGTTGGCACTCACACAGATTTAGCAGAAAATGCTACATCTGTGTTGGAGCTAGACTTCGAGCTTCTGACTTGTGGGGAAGAGACTGATTACAAGCAACAGCTGAGTCCCGTGGGAATGCAAAAGTCTTTCCCTCAAAGCAGTCTGGATCATCTTACTGCTTCAGCCTGTTCACCTGACTCCATGCAGTCCTTTTCACAGGGGACCCATCAGTCAGAGAACCACAACAATATGGATATGAGTGTTAATGATCAGAGCTCAGATTGTGAGCAACATGTAACTGAAGGAGAAAATGGCATCCACTGTACACCAGCAACAAATCTCCAAACTGCAGGTATCAGACAAGGTGATTGTAGTGAAAAGGGATTGAATGCACAGAGACAGGAGGCTATAATTACTACAAAAACAAAAATACCCACAGCAGAGGATCAGAACGTACTCTCCAACAGCAGAACTTGTGTGGGAGACGGTTGTGTGGAGAGCGGCCTTGGAAACGCTGTAATAGTGGTTAATACGTTGCCACTGACAACACCCACACTGTCAGAAGTGATAGAAAGCGAGGGAGAGAGAGAAAGTGTGAGCCGTGATCTACAGGAGACTGTGGCTACTGTAGCAGTTGCAGAGAGTGAGGAAGGAGCAGGAGAAGGCAAACTGGATGGAAGAGCAGACTATCCTGCCTCTGCGGATGTAAAAAGAGACAAACTCCAGGAGAGCCCCCACCTCGTCTCATTAAACTGCTCACAAGGAAATTGCACGCTTCCATTCTCGGCCAAAGAGGGAGAGACTGAATGTGAGGAAAGCTGCAGCAGCAAAATGCCACACAACTTGGCTGAGGCTGAAATTAAGGGACCGAGAGAAGTGTGCATTCACAGCACAGACACAGAGATCTCACCAGCTGAGGAGACGGACGCTGAAAAGGAGCTACTATTTTCCGAAGGCTGTACGAATACCTTTGGTCCTCATTTCCAGAATCGCAGGAGTGGTGCACATTTAGAAAGATCGGAAGAGGGAGGGGAAGGAAGAGGAGGGGAGGTAGGAGAAAAAGGAGGGCTTGCTGGAGAGCACAATTTACCGAGCCAGCCGAAAGGCTCTGTTGGAGGGGTGTCATCAGTCAAGACGGGAGCGAGTCCGCCCAGTGATGTTGCCGAGTCACAGTTGAAGTCACCGTGCTGGGGTGAGCCGATCGCTACCATTCCTGAGGGCTCTGAAGAGGAGCGTTTCTATCACAAGCAGCATGACGTGACAGTTTTACCTCTTCCCTCTTACTCTGAGCAGCAGCAGGGCTCCAGCCATACAGACGCCGAGATAAAGACCGAACCAATACAAGAACTGGTTCCAGAGGAAGCACTGTCTTTGGAACAACCTTGTCAGATATCAATCATCACAGAAAGGAACTGCAACCACGTCTTCCAGCTTTTTACCTCTCCTCAGCCTTTGAATACATCACAGCAAAGTGAGCAACAAGCAAGATCGGATCAACAGGTTGGACCTCGTAGCATTGAAGAGAAAACAGCCGAAAGTACAGCCAATACCCAGAGTGAGAGTGGCAGTCCCAACATGACTGGAAGAGGTGTCCTTTTGTGCACCAGCAGTGGAGGTAACAGAGTTCACTTTGCTGATGATGTTAATTTTAAGCTCAGCTCCTCTGAGACTCTTACAAACATGCCAGTTCTAGGTTTGGACTGTGCTTCTTTGCCTCCGTTGACTGTTCATGAGACATTGCACCATCCTGTGACAGAGGCCAGCTACACCTTCCCCAATCACCTCAGCTTTGATATGCCGGAAAGCTCCACGAGTACAGGTTTGATGAAGGATGGAGAAGAAATACATGGTTCAAATGAGATTAAAGAACAACGGACGGCCAGTTTGGGTGAAGGTGATGCTAAGAAAATGGCCTTAGATCATGACCACAATGAAAGAAGTGCTATACACTTAGAGGGAATAGCCGAAAAAGAGGGATGCTCAGAACAACTTTCTTCTCCCACTGGGGAGAAGCAGATGGGTAAGGAAGAACATGACATTGACAGTGAGACTAAACGCCTGCAGGAAGATTTATCTTCAAAACATGATGCTACTGTGACCCTTGAAGAAAAAGAAGTGAACCAGCATAATGCATCTGAAGCTGACCCTTCTACATGCTCTGGTTCAAAACCTCTGGAGCCCACCTCTCAGCCTTCTTGTTTAGATGAAGCCCCTCAAACTGGACCAGTCTTCACTGATGTCATGGAATCGCCTGAGGTACTGATGGGTGGTCTTACTGGTTTGACAAAAGAAGAGACTGGCTCTGTCAGCAACCCACCCATTGCATTGCAGCCTCCTGGACCAATGATGAGTCACTTGGAGTTTATTACCGACTGCGATGTCTCTTTTCCAGAGAACATAGGTACTGATGGGCACTGCATCAGCATCTCCAGAGAGGTGGCAAGCAACCAGGATGGTGAAATGCCTTTAATAGAGAATCTGAATCACAGTAGTGCCAGTTTTAGAACAGATGAAACCTGTCAGGAGCTGAAGGATAGCAATTGTGCTGAGCACTCTGATGATGAACTCCTGATATCTTGCACCATGAATTTGAATAATCCTTGTTCACAAGTGGAAAATTTGACTGCTGCAGCCCAGTCTTCAGCTGCAAATGATGTACTGTTAAAGGAAAGATCTGGCAATATAATGCCAACATGTCTCGATAAGCCAGACTCTACTATTATTGAAACATCTAACAGAGATGACCTAGCATGTGTCAACTACTCCACTAGTGAGACATATGTTAACACTGAAAATGTTAGTATGGGGGAAACAAAGAAACTAAAAGAAGACATAACCATGGATAATCAAGAGGAAGCAGCAGATAACAAAATGCAGCAGACAGGAAAGACAGACCCAACATTGCAGCAGCAGTATAATGGACCAGATAAAGAGGCTGTTTTTATGGGAGCAGCAGTTTTGCAGCCACAACGTAAACACAATATGGAGACTGAATCACCGCCAACAGAAATAGCAAACAGAGAAGAAAGCAATAAGAGCTTTCCATCTAAATGTGGAAGTAAAACTTCCTCAACTTCCAGCAGAACATCTGAAAGATTTTTACCTCCTGAGTTGGAGTCCAACACTGAAACTCAGACTGTTTACGACCAGAGTTTGAGCCAAATTGTGACAGCAGAGCTGAAATGTAGCTCTGACACTGACGCTGCACCAGATCTGAGCCCAGCTTTTGGCCAATCGCAGGACTTGCAAGATCTAAACAGTTTTGCCCAAGAACCAGAGCAAAGGGAGCAGAGTTTGGGATCCACACATTCCACAGAGGAGATGTCAGGTGGAACCGCTGACGGCAAAGAAAAGATTTGCAATTGGACTCAATCTGCAGGTCCAGATGAGAGAGACTGCTCTGATCAGAGTTTGTTTGAATCAGTAAACAAGGATGAGTTGTTTAGATTTGCAGTGAAAGAAGATGTGCCATCTGGCTTTTCTGTAGATTTAAATGGAAGTGAAAATGGTGCAGATGGAAAAGCATCAGTTGAAGCAGGGTTAGTAACTGTTTGCTCTCAAGTAGGTGAGATTGGACAGAGATTAGATGTGAATAAAGACCCTGGCTTAGAGCTGGATGAGTCAAACAGAAACACAAAGCCAGAACAAACAACTGACATGGACCAGCACAGAACATGTGAAATGTTAAAAAACAGTGCTGCATCTGTTGAGTTTGCTTCGACTTCAGCTAGCCAACACTCAGTTTCATCAAAAGTCAGCACAGACAGTCAAGATGCTCATATTTCAAGTACAAACCAAGCTGATGAAGTTTATCTGAAGGGGTTTAGCACACAGCAAAATGTTGGGGGAGCAGAACCTAGGGGAGAGGACTTCAGTGCTGCCTCAGCTAAAGAAAGCCAACGGGGTGACATTAAGGATGCAGAGCTGCAAAGCTGCAATAAAACCTCTGACACAGACAGCAGCCAAGTAGTACAAGCAGCCATAAAAAGCTCTAATGATGAGGAAATCCCAAAAGAAGACAAGGCAGATTTGGTAGAGGAGAGGGAACAGAGGGGGGTGGAAGTAGCTCATAGTGCAGGAAAGCAAGCAATTTCAAATTTAAATGATAAAGAAACTGGAGCAGAATCAGAGTCCAGTCTCTTTAACAACGACGCGCCACAGAGCAGCACAGAAACCCCTGCTTGTCCCTCAGAAGGGGGCGTTAGCTGTGCTAAGGAAACTGAAATAGACGGTAGTGTGATAGATAAAACAAACGCTGATGCCATCATCGTCCCATCTGTTGTTACTTCGACCTCCATCCCGTCTCCTAATGAGTCAGAGAAACACCATGATCAGGTGGCGTTTTCAGAGCCCCAGGATAGGGCTGAGGTAAAGCCCTATCCAGAGCAAGGATCCCAGGAACCAGAAACAAACTGGATTCAAGCCCTAAAAGACGCTGCGTACCTCTCTCAGAGCGAACAAGTGAAAACACAAGATGGCTTGAGGTAAACACAATAGCATGTTCATACAGTTTTTAAAATTGTTCTAAGGGGATCATATTAGTTTTTAGTTTGGATTTGTATTTATTGTGGTCAGATTCTGTCAAAGGTGTTCATTCTGGTTCCCCTACCTGTACCTGACATATAGTATTTCTTAGTAAGTATGTAGAGATGTGGGAGGCTAAAGTCACATTGTGATCACTGGGAGGCATCATTAGACAGATTAGGATACTGGACTTCAGCTATGGGTAGATCTTCAGTTCATCTGTTTAGAACAGGTCTAAAAGACGACACCATGCTGTTGGCATTATATTCACGTTCTCTGCAAACCCCCCCCCCCCACAAAAATCTCAAACTAATTTTTTCTACCTTTGATCTGAATAAATTCAAAGTCAAAGATATTTACAATTGTTAAACCTATATATGTTTTATTAAACCTTTATTCTACTTGTGCAGGCTCAAAAAATGGGATTTTAAGGCTTTTTTTTTTGGCTTCTTCAACAATCTTACGTGAAGCTCAGCTTGGAAATGACTTACCTAGACGGGTAAAATGGTGGACAGAATTACTTTAAACTAAAGAGAAACTCTAAAAAATTCATCCTAAATCCAATATTCACTGATAGAGTGGTAATCAGATAGTTAGGGAATCTGGTAGTTGTGGATAATAATCCTTACTATATTCTTAATATATTTTTGTTTTGATTAAAACCACGTATTAGCATTTTTTTTAATTAATTATGTTATTTTTATTTAATTCATTTTGTGTCCAAAGTCAGTAATAGTTCCCCTCAACCCCAGGGAACTATTACTGATATCATCACAGAGCATCACAACAAAAGAAATCTGAAGTATCCCTTTTATGTCTTTGAATTCAGGCAGACTTTTTTTTTTTTTTTTGATAATTTCTGTTTTTTTTTTAATCTACATCACAGTAACACCCTGTCCAGGCCTTGTCCGGAACGCTATTGAGGAGAGCATCGTGACAATGAATATGAATGAGGATGTAAACACAGAGCTGCACTTTGTTTGAATTGAGTCATATGACTGCTGGTTGAACTCTAATGAAAGTAAAGCAGCCCATTATGTTCAAAAGGATGACATCAGCTGTGACATCTTCCCTGATCTCCAGGGAGACAACGATCCTCTTCTCACACAAAACACATTCGTCAACATTTCTGCATACACAACCTCCAGAAACCCATGCAAAAGTGTTATTTGTTTGGACTTTTGCTGTCAAGCAACAGCTCCGTTAACCCTTTTCTTCTTCTATTCTTCTTTTCCCAGACCACTCCCATCTCTGGAGTCTCCTCAGGTTGAGTTTGTAACTCCCACTGAGGAAATTCCTTCTGCACTGATATCAGACGAGGTGATCCTACCACAAGAGGAAGCAGAGGAAAACACAGCTCAAAGCTCATGTCAAAGTGCTGTGAAGAGGCCAAATGATCTTCCTAAACCTTTAGAGAAGGTGGATCTTCCTGAACCAATAAAATATTCGACAGATCTGACTTCGAAGGCTGAGCTCCCACGAGAATCATCCAAAACAACAAAACCTTTGGAGCAAGAGTCATCTCAAAAGTTGTTCGACAGGAAATCTGTTGCAACAGAGCACACTGAACTCCTACAACCTGCTCAAGAGACAGAAGAGATTCTAGTGCCAGCCAGAAATGAGGTAGAAATCAGAGAAACATCAAATCTAGAAGATTTACAACCAAACGAGCCAAGAGCAGAGACCGTACAACAGCAGCAGCAGCTTTTAGAAGAACCAGAAGAAAAACCCATCGAGGTCCCACCTGTGGAGCCATTCAGAGTCCCTGCTGAGAAAACTGAGGTGCCAGAAACAGTCGAACATCCCTCCACAGAGCTACAGGACAGCGGGTAAGCTGATATTAAAAATTAAGCTATTAGCCAGGAGCTTAATTGATTTTGTAAGTCTAACATTTAAAAATATAATTCATCAACTAAAGAAGATGTGATTTGTAGTCCAGTAACCTGGTCCATAATATTTTCCTATAGGCACCAACCAACAGGCTGCTCCTCTAGGACTTAGTCAGGATCTGGAGCATAGAAACATACCTTTTAATATATTTAGGTCAATAAACCTTCATGAATTTGATCTATCTATATTTTTTCAGAATGAATAACATTGTATTCATTTACAATCTTTTATCAATTTCAGCCCTTTTCCTTTCCTTTCTTTTTTTTCTTTTCTTTTCTTTTCTTTTCTTTTCTTTTCTTTTCTTTTCTTTTCTTTTCTTTTCTTTTCTTTCCTTTCCTTTCCTTTCCTTTCCTTTCCTTTCCTTTTCTTTCCTTTCCTTTCCTTTCCTTTACTTTCCTTTCCTTTACTTTACTTTCCTTTCTTTTATGTGTTTAAAATGAATTTGTTTGGCTCTCAGAGCCTTGGAGGGTGTCTGGTCGGGTTCTTCTGTCTGCAGCGGTTTCACCGTGTCTGATCAAACCAATTAGCAGGAGCCTTGCCAGTCTCTCCTGCCTCTGAGACCATTGTTGGTTTTAGTTCAGCTTCTATGTGACTCATCTGGTTTCACTTTTTAAATCATTTTATCAGCTCTTAGTTCACTGATTGAATTGTTTGCTGCTTTTCTGTTGAAAAGATTCATCACTTTGTCAATGTTTCATCCACAGACGTCAAAATATTTTATTAGGATTATAGTGCAGAACAGTGATGTAGAAGTATTGGCCCATTTGTATTGGGCCAGTTTACATTTTAGTGCAAAATGCCCAATCCCTTTACCCTGACATCCATAAATAAAACCCAGCACATTCAGTTACATTAGAAGTCAACTTATTAGCAAATGAAGTTCACATTGGCGCAAGACAAGCCAGGAATTCATAAAGAGAAGCTGGTCAGAGTTATTAGGAAGATGGGTGGAGCTACAAATGGGCCAATACTGGAAGAAAACCTGTTTGAGATTGAGAAAAGATTGAGACTGGTGCGAAAAATTCATTGTCCAGCTGGACAGCACATTTAGATAAAAAGCTAGGGCTACAATAAAATGGGGTTAGATTAAAACAGTCATGTGTTCATATTACTCAGTCAAACTCTGGACCTAAGTCCAAATGAAGAATTTGTGGGAAGACTCAAAAGTTAACACTCATTGACCCATTTCATTGAATATATCTGATTCTGGTTGAGAGAGGTTACTAAATACAAATGTATGCCACACTTTTCAGATTTTTAAAGTGTATATATCATTTTTCTTCCACTTCACAGCTATGCACTACCTTTAGTAGGTCTTTCACATTAAAAAATACTAGACACTTAATAGGGTGTGAATAAAAGTAAAACAAACCAGTGTAAACATGTAGGGATCTTTCTGTTAATTTTGTGTTATTCACTCTTTTTTTCTACCAACTACCTTCTCATTCATGCTTCCTATGCGCCGCCTGTTGCATGCCGAAGAGGCGATTACATGCCGGAGCAGCACTTGCTGCCTGTCAGTCTCGGCATTTGTCCCATCATAGAACCCACAACTTCTCTCAGAGAAAGAATAACGGTGATATACACTCCCATATGTCAGCGATGGATAAGGTTACAGATGCAAACATGCGGCTGACAAAAATATGACTGCCTGGCCAATGATGTGTGTGTGAGGTTGGGCATATGTTGTATTTCCCTCCGCCCCCGAAGGCTAACGTTGCTGTCAGTCCTGCTCAGTCTGTGCGGCTTTGTGAGCTGAAGCCTGCAGTGGGAGGAATTTGGGCAGGACATAGTCCCACTGAAGTCATTTTCACAGAGTGCACAGGCAGGAACAAAAGCCAGGCTTCAGAGAAACACTTGAGCGTGTGTGAGAGTGAGCGACAGAGTCACGGACAGACAGAGAGGAGGAGAAGGAGGAGGAGGTGTAGTCGCAGGTTCTCCTGTTTGTGGGGTAAAGAAGAAACTGAGTAAAAGTTTAATCTTAAAGTTACATTTTCTGTGACGGATCCTTTCCACAGTTGAAATCTGGGATTTCTGGGTGAGTTTGACAGAAAGCGTCTTCTGTTTTTTTTTTTTTTTTTTTTTGTAGAACAAGTGTGTTGGTGCTTAAATCCTTCCAGGTGGACGCAGCAGATGGTCTGGAGGTAACTTGTGCTAATTACTTTGTGCCACTGTTGACCCCAGCAGATGGGCAGAGGGGCGGGACAGAGAGAAATGACAGTATGGAAGGATTTTGTGGCGTGAAGTTGAGCATAGAGTTTGCTGCCTCCCATTTAAAATAGTTGACAAGTATCAGCATGATTAAACTTCCGCCTCCGACGACTGGATGAGAGTTTACCTGTAATTTACAGAAACTGGAAAGCTGTTTAACTTGATCCTGAATGTTTTCTCCAGAAATATTTCTGGAGTGATCAACTGCTGTATTTATAGTGTATTTTCGGAGGTTACTAAGGAAATTTAAAGAGCTGCTTTCAGTTTGAACCCAAAGTACTTTTGAAAATTGTTATTTATGAAAAGTTGCATTACCACATAAAACAGTTGACTGGAGTTCTACTTCTAAAACTAGCTGCAGCTCTTCAGGTTTAGAATTACACCCGTTGGATATTTCATCGCATTACAATCACAAATTTTGTGCAAACAAAAATCTGAAAAGTGTGGTGGGCTTCACCATTCATTGCGATTACAGCCGCAGGCCTTTGGGATTGGTCTTTTCCATCTTTACACATCAAAGTACTGAAGGTTATTCATCTTCTTCACCGTCAGATTTGACGGAGAGGAGTTGGCACAGCGTTTCAACTGGATTTAGGTCTAGACTTTGACTGGGCCAGTCTAACAGATGTTTAGGATCATTGTCCTGGTGCAAGTTGATACTGACCCCATTCAAGTCTATTCCAGCCTCTAATATGTTTTCTTGTCTCTGCTGAAAAAAAAAAAAAGCTTCCCCACAGCATGATGTTGCCACCACCGTATTTAACAGCAGAGATAGTAGGAGTGTGCTAAAAATTTGATTCACATAAGAATTATGATTCTCATTTACTACTATTCAGAATCAAATTAAAATGTCAGACGTGGTGAGGAAATATGTAATTTTTTTTTAACAGTTGTTGACTAAATGGCCACAAACGCTGTCAAATGGCTAAAAACTTCTGAAATTGCAACTCCTCTTTGGGGGAGGCTGTCTGCAGAATGGTGTGGTGCTCGCTCCTTGACCAATTTATTAAAGGCAAGACAGAGGATTGGAGGAAGGGAGTTATTACATCCATGCATGCATTAATATTTAAAATTTAATAAATGTGAAAAAGACACTTTAATGTCTCCCTTAGTCATTCTGCCTTGCAAACCAGAATGGAGTAGATCATAAGAATGCTTTGCAAACCTATAGACTAAATCAGAATTCATTACGAATAATCATTTTGAATCAAACATTGATTTTGAGTCAAATTGTGAGATAGTGAAAGGTTCCCACTCCTAGTGGATAGTGTGCTTATGGTGGTTTGCGGGTTTGGTTTTTCTCCACACAGTGCTTGTTGTTTCTTGGCCCTCCTGGACCTTTCACCTCTGAGAGTTGATCCTGCATAAACAAAAGACAATGGATCATGACTTATTTTGTAAAGATCAGATTTATGGCATTCACAATTGACAGATGTCTTGTGAATCTCTGCAACTCCTGCACAGTTACAATGGACCCTTTTGGTACACCAGCATTAATATCCACCCTCTCAGATAATTTTTAATCTGTGTGAAAGAGAAATGGTGACTACCACCACCACTGTTTGCTTTCATATTTTCTAGAAAATTTATTTTTTTTTTTTAACCAAGTTTGGATTCTGCTGGAAGAATTTTGATGGGTTTAAAATCACTAAGTGCCTTCAACAGATTTAGAAACTGGGAGTAATAACTGGAGTTTTCTAGGAAGTTAGAAATTGCCCCTCTTTAACTGAGCAGTTAATTACATGACTCTAGGTCTGTTACTACTGAAGACCCAAGAGAAGAAATAGAAATTAGTATTTTTTTTATCAAAAAAAAATACTAAGTGTTTTACATCAAATGTAAAACAGGGGCACAACTCTTTGGAGGGCAGAACGACTGAATACTTTGGTTTTCTGGAGGTTTTGAACAGAATCAGTAAAGTGTTGAATCCATTCAAGAGAAGTTGGATGTGTTGAAACCTACTCTTGAATGTAAATAGACTGGTTGCCCTGGTGATTGTAGATTTATTTGCTTTGCATGACTGGATACATTATTGTCTGCATCTTATTCTGACATTTAAAATATAATGGCAGGAGAAAGTAGGGTAAAGTACAAATTTGCCAAACAATAGATGTTTTCTTTAGGCGTTTCTATGTAAACATTATGAGCTGGCTGTTGGCTGCAGAAAGAGTGATATGGTCCAATCTTTACAGCAATTTTAAAACTTTTTTTTCTCTCTGGTAAACTGCAGCTGGTTTTATTTAAACGTCTGGCATAAAACACCTGGACGCTCAAACCCAGATGTTTCCAGTAGATTACTTTAGTAATAACAACCAAAAAGGCCAGAAATCCTTTCAAAGCACATTCAATTGTGCTTATTAACATTCATTAATGAATGATAAGATTGTACAATTTTTCATTAAAAAGGCTCTTAAAACATTTTTTTTTAATTTAACTTTAAGTTTAAGAGTGTGTTGCCCGGCTCCCAGATAAATTGATGGCAGGAAGAACGCATCAGGCAGTTTGCAGGGATAATGCCAAGAGATTGAATTTGTCCCACTTGAAATGGCTCATGTGCTCTAATTTGTTATATTTATCCTGCTGCTACTTTGTGCTCATCATATCTGTGGGCACTGCTAAATTAGAAATCATCAGCTGTTACATTGAGTGGGTCAGCTGATACTGAACTTACATAAAATGAAACCTAATCAGAGTTTATTCCACAACTTTTCAGCGTCACATTTGTGAATTCACAAGTACTAATTCAGTTCATTCAGAGGATTCAATTAAGTTCCAGATTTAGAGGAACCAGTTCTTCCAGTCACAATCCAGTCGTATAGTTAGATTCAAATTTAATTGCATAAAAACTAATTCTGCTGATCATAAAATACCAGGTGGTCAAAGGGAGTTTATGTAAGGGAGCCCAGTTGATGACTTCAGGTGATTGAATTTCCAGCGGTTTCTCATCCCGAGCAAGCATGTGGCGACAGTGCAAAGAAAGGAAAAAAAAATAAGATCAGGAGTACTTTCTATGGCAAAGAAAAACAATAAGAGGAGTCAAAGTTATTCAACCCAACTGCTGTATCAATAGCTCCTTTCAGAAAAGCGACAGCGAAGTATTGAGCCAGGATTCCTTTCCATAGAAAGAAAAATAAAGCACTTAAGAATTAATGGCAAACAATGCTTAGACATTCAGGCAAGTTCATAATGAACCTGTCTGATGAGGAAGTTTGCATATTGTAACAGAAAAAAATGACTCGAATTAATATAATCTAGTCAAAGTCCTTCCCTTCTGTGCATAAGCAAACACCCACAAACCTCCACGTAGATGAGACGGAGAGGAGAATTGAGGCTTTTTTTGTTAGCTTCCCATTGCAGGTCGTATGTCTACGTTTTTATTTCTTGCATTTTAAATGTGTTTTAATTTGTCAAACTTGAAAATAAAGGAAGATTTCCTATTGAAAGTATAACATGTCTTCATAGGAACATCTAAAAGGAACATGTCTGCTTACATTTGGCTGAATTTGTGCTTTTGATAAGGTATTTTGAGGTCCTAGTTGTCAGAAGAGGCTCCTGGGCTATTTCTGAATCCAAACAGGAGGCATTCGCCAAGTGCAGAACAGCTGCATGGGTGTCCAAGGCATTGCCTGTCAGATTAGAGAGCCTACCACTTGTGATAAGGCCAAAACAGATCAGGGTCTAAATCCACTCCACCAGGTGGCCATTGATGACAGAGCCTGGACCATCAGGCTAAACAGGCTAAGTCTCTGAAACAGCAGACTGTCATGTCTGGGCAATAATGAGACAAGCTAAATATTGAGTTTCAAATAGGAATATATACTGTCACTTCTGTTTTTAGTCAAGTCTGCTTCATACGTCATTTGAACAGGGACACGACAAAGAATGTAGTTTGTTTTTTTGATCTGCCTGTTGATGTTGTGCCTTCCTTCCCTCTGCAGGCTCTCCCTCGCTGAGCAGGCAGAGAGCGGCCACCCCGTCTTCACTTCTCCCACTCCTGCCCCCAACGATCACAGCACTACTCACCTGCCTGCTGTCCCTCCTCACCCCCACAAAACCTCAGCGCTTGCCCCCCTCACATCTTTGGAGACACTTCCACCAACCCCACCTGCATCCCCCTGCCTTCCTCCTGCTGCCCCTGTAGACCCCTGTACTCTTCCTGCTGAACCCTGTGAGGACCTTATCCCTGTGTCTGCACCCTGTCGGGTTCTGTTAAGGTACGGTACACACCATTACCTCTAAACATCTCCATGTTTAAGCCATTTTATCATTTAGCTTTAAAATTCAGCGTTGGCAAATGCAATGCGACTTAATTTGGACCTTGGAATTTGTCCTGTGTCTACACCAAAGCCAAAACCCCTTAAATTTCGGCATCAAAGCTCTGGTCAAATGATACCATTAAATTGACATCTGGCACACTTACTCAACTTGTAGATCCTGACCTTGCAATTCTTTAACAGAGAGCTTTTTGAAATACTCATCCACCAAGGCTTCTTTGCATAACTCAAAGAAATAAAGCACATTTTAGAGGTGAAGCTCATTTTATGTGTATGTTTACATGATAAGTATGCAGCTGAACCGGTATTTTATCTTAGAATAAGCTCTTAAAATAGGAGGAGGAAGAAATATAAACATATCTATCCAGTAGCTTACAAAGTAAGCACATATTTCACAGTAGATATTTCAAAATTTAGCTTTGTCCTGTTGAAAATCACCTCTATTTTTAAATGTCTGAGTTTATTTTAGTACAAAAGTTATAATTCTTTGTGATATTATTCCTATATTTCAAATATTTTTATTCATTTGCAACCACAATCTTAAGTGTATTTTATCTGGTGTACTGATTGCAAATGCACACTACAATTTTTAGGGTTTTTTTAATAAGACTTTGTTCCTATATAATTATCCTCCTACTTTAAATCTATGCACTACTTTATGTTGGTCTGTCTCATAACATGCCAATAGAACTAATCTAATTGTTGTGGTTGTTATGTGACAAAATGATAAAAAGGGCAAGGTGTACTCATAATTTTGTAAGGCAGTGGTTTTGTTCTGTTCAAGCATTTTTCTGTCATATAGCAGCATCAGGTTTTCATATAAACCTATATGCCCTGTCAGCAACTGGGCTTGTTTATCCCACTTATAAAATGACAGCATGACACTGCTATGTACGCTGACCACAAAGTGAAATCAAACTGGATTTTTAAAATTGAACATAGCAACCGATACTTACTTACTTTATAACTACTGTTTTTATATGTGCAATCATAGGTCGATAAAGCTCCTTTGCGTTTTTGTTTTTTATCTGGAACACAGTCGCGTATTACTTATGAAACTATTGCTAAATTACAGCCACAATATATAAAGTGTGAATAGTTCTCATTGTTTAACCCACACCCTTCTTCTGCAGCCCCTCTTGGCTTTGCATTTTATTGCATAAAGTTTATTTGGAAGGAATGACTCAGCCACTTCTGTGGTGTAATGATTTTTGCAACCACCAGAGGGTGTTTTCTGCAAACTGTGCAGAGGAACGCTGAAGTGTGCTCACATGTATGCATGACTGAACACAGGGGGACAAATCAGTGCTGATGCAGTTCACGATACACACATCTATATGATTTAGACAAGAAGTTTCTAATATGCAGAAGTATATTTGACCTTGATTTTACAAAAAGAGAGGACTCTCTTTCTCAAGGGAGTCCTAACCAGGTACATATTTATTTGAAGCAGCTGTGAATATTTAGTTGCTTTATGAAAACAAGCCATATTTAGTGAGAAGCAGAAGGATGAAAAAAAAACAAACAGTGAGATATAATGTTATATTATTTATAGTCTCTGAGTGACCTGTTCGAGTACACTGCAGAGGAATCCAGAGCTTTGTAAAAAACGTAACATTTGACTCCACAGATTTTCATTTTTGATCAAAGATATGTACGATTATGGCAGAGCATGTGTAGACCTACCACTTCAGTTTCAGGTAATTTTGTTCATTGATTTGTTTACTCTGAGCTAATAGAATGGTAGCTGCTGAATCTGAGCCTGAAGTTTTTCCTTTAGGTTGAAAAATTATTTCTTTATTTTAATGTTCTGAATTGATAATAAATTATCACATCTTTCTGTGACTTTTATTTTGCAGCAGTAAATCTGTTGGTTTTTCTCTGTCCTTAGTGGCTTATAGTTAATTTATGCAGTGAAACTTTAGCTTCTTCTCAAACTTTTCTCACCCCTTAATTTTCAGCAACTGTGACCATTACATTTTCTAGTAGTGCCTACTAAATTTTGAGGAGAAAGGTCAAACTGAAGGTCATTTAAGATGTGTTTTTAAAATTGCCATACTTGACACAGAAAACCTTCTACTTATTTTGCTTGTGACTGTTATTTGTCATCGTTATCTTCTGCTACAGCAAAACAGCGGCATGTTTCTTTCCTATGGCTAATATTTAAAGAAACTATTTAGTGGTGTGTTTTTTAAAATAATAATGAAAATAAAAAAAGCAGAGTACTAAAGTATGGATTTCCACTGCAGCATTTCACCAAATTGAAAAGTTTTTAGCTGTAAACCATTTAAGAAAAAGCTGTCAATGACATCACACAAGGCACAAGAAGCGATCCAAACACCTGGCATTGGTAAACGATATGCGGGATGCGAGATTTTTAATGGCTTTTCACCTAAACTGTTAACTGACATTCATTCACGTTTCACTCAGTTCTGCCCTGGTCCTCTTCACAAGCCACTTTTATGTTTCTTATTGGTACACACAGTAAACATAGTCTGATCAGTTGCTTTATATCTTAAGTGACGTCATTTAAGTTCAGCTTTAACAATTGACCAGTTTTGCCAGTTTTGTTGGGCATTACATGGTAAACGTAGTGTATTTGCATACTGCTTTATCAAGTCAGAGAACTCTGAAGCACTTCACACTATGTTCAGTTATTCACATGCTGATGGAGAGCAGGCTGACAGAAGCAAGGCTGTCGTACAATCGCCACAAATACGTAGAGGGACAGAGTGGGGCTTTGAACCGGCAAACTATGGGTAACGAGACGAACTTCTACCTCCTGAGTCGTCATCACCCCATCAGAACATCTGCAGATTAATATGAACTGGCTAAAATTTCCCCCAAGAGCTTTGGTGGTCAAGACATTTCAAAAAGGCCCGAGACCAGAATGTTTACACAGTGTCAGGTGGAGAGAAATGTCTCTGTTAAGATGACAACATCAGAACAGTGTTGCATAAAGTCTGCTTGGTTCATCAAGCCAAAAGCTGCCAGAGAGGTAGGGTGCAGTGCTCATACTGAAGTGGTTTGTTGGCAGCCTAATGTGTCTTGCAAATTGATTTTGAAACTAAGCTTGAAATTTATTTAGAATTCTGAAATGAAAATTATGTAAAAAAAAAAAAAAAAAAAAGCATAAACAAGAATTCACCCGTTTCTTTGAAAACGGTGTAAGGAATGTGAGGTCGATGCTGACAACTTTGGTTGTTTAGCTGGTGCGACTAGTCATGGCAGAAGGGACATCCCATAAGTGGAGAATAAAGGTTACCACGGTAACTAACCATTTATGTACATTTTGCCCTAAAGGACAAAATGTTCTTTGTGGAGTTTTGTGTGTTGCTCTGGAGTCTGAAACGGGATACAAAAATGGATATTGAGTTGAATCTTTCATAGCCCAGTTATAAATCTTTCAGGAAACCCTGTCACAGCCATTTTTTTCCTGTACATGAGTAGGCTGAATTCTTTATTTCTTTCTGCTCTGCAGCTGAAACTGAGGCGCAAAGCTCGACTGTAAAAGAACAGGCTTTTCATTCAATGAACCTACTGGAACAGATATTGGACAGACTTCTGTGTCCTAAATACATCTTTGAGCTTCTGTGGGGGTGGGCGGTCTAAAGGCAAATCATAATCAATGATTTTTCTTTTAGCTGGGTCTGTGCTTTGACTTTCGAACTCGGCTACAATTGCATGGGTTTCTTTGAATTGTAAATCATCAACCATCAAGCCAGTTTAAGAATAAAACCTTCTGAGTATGTTTTCCAAGTTCATTCATCAAATAATAAATGAACTTGATGTTCACACCTGGGTTTGTGTTCCAGGTTGTGCTGAGCAAATTGAACAATTATTTTTGCCCCAACAGACACAGGTATTACACCTGAAAGCTCAGTACAGAAAGTTGGAGCGTCTGCCAGCTCAAGTTATGCTCAAGTTATAGTATTCCCGCACCTTCCCAGGGAGGCACAATAGATTTACTCTTCTCAAGTTGCTTAACCTCATTTTCCTCATTGTAGCTGAAATCAGTTGGGAATTTGACGAAACTGATCCTGCCCCCCTATCCAAAGCCCACGGGACACATTCTTTGCATCTGTCACAGAGATGACTTAAGAAGCCACTCCTTGAGAGAAAACCAGGGCTTCAAGAAAGAGACGGACGAAATCAGATATGAGAATATTTATTAACATTCCCGATTATGATGTGTAAAATGCATTTGAATTAACTTTATTTGTAGCAGCATTATCTCACTCTAAAAAATGGAAAAAATCCAACCCATAACTTGATTTTTATTTTTTTACTCATTGATGGGGAAAAAAACAAACAAACAAAAAAAAAAACAATCTTTGAAAGTCCCTTTAGGGAGGGAAACAACTAAAGTTTATTTTAGCCAATAGCCAGAAGGCTGAATAAAGACCCAGTTTTATCCAAAAAGGAAAAAAAAAAGGAAAACTGGTGCCTTTTCAGATGTGACTAAATTAGATCCTTTATTTAAAAAAACACTGCAGTTGAGATGGAGTTGAAACAAAAGATGGATATCTGGAAAAAGGATCACGGCATTTAAAGTACGGTTGAGAATCTGTGATGCTATGGGACCGTTTTTTTTTTTTTTTTTGTCTGGGAAACGTGGTCAAGTGCACAGCATCATGAACCTTTTTAAATACCAAAATCCAACAGATTTTAAGTAAAATCTGCTGGATTGGGTCTTTCAACAGCATAATGATCCGAAACAAATTGGTGTGTTGTCTAAAGAGGAATTGCACACAAAACTTCTTTCTATATGCATGACTGTACTTTGTAAAAATAGGAGAAAACTATTGGCAGAATGAGGTACTACAGATTTAACTAGTTATTTTATTGACAATATCTTACTGTTGTAGATTTAAATTACTCACTGTATAAATGGATTCAAATGGAAAGTAGGATTTTTCTTAATTTTTAAAAGTGACATC